CTTTTACTGTTCGGTCGCAATGTTCGCAATTCATGTTTGCCTGCTAGGGACAAGAAGCGATCATGAACCAGCAATAACGCCAAGCACCAAGGAACAAAACACTACGAAACAGGACGGCATCACACGAGCATGGGCCACTTGCTTGAATATGTCCTCAGCCTTAATTGCCTCTGTCGTGTTTCCCGCATCGAGACTTTTCAATCCCCTTCTCGTTGACGCGGAGTCCGTAGGAACGGTGGTTCCCCTAAACCCAACAAAAGATGGCCCTCATGTGCGGAGCAAGATGGTGCCGTCGACCGGTACCTCCTGTGAAATGAGCTTCGTTGGGGGTTGAGTGGACGAAGGCGGTTGAGAGGGGAGCAGAGGGAGTTGACGCCGGGTGACATGGTATATAATTGTAGATGTTGAGGGGGGAGAATGTTGTGTGCCTAATATTATTTTTCCTTCTACCACTGCATCTGACATCTACCACCCCAACAAGTTTTCAAAGAAGGGAAGGAGCGTACCGACGAATGGGAAGACGTACACGCTGATTGCCTGAGGGGAGTGGATATTGTACGAGATACATCGAGAACGAGAGCCAAGAACCACCCGTTTAGACATAAATCATGGGCGTGAGGAACAATCCCAACCAGCAGAACACTGTACCCCTGACATTACGCCTAAGACTGCTGCCCTCTTAGCATATGTACCACGTTGCCAGCTCCCGCCGCCCCCCGGCTCGGTCGCTATCGCCACGTCAATCGAAAAGTCACGCCGGGACAAGGAAGGGCGGGCAAACAGTCCTATCCCGCAAAAGCGGAGGATCCTCCTGGCTGCCAACGAGGGGCGCATGTCGAAAGTCTAGGGTCCACGTTCAGAGATCTCTGCCTAGAGAGAGGAGAACAATAAGGCTACGCACGAGGGTCGAGGACTCTACAAGTCGAACGTGGCCATCATCATGGGCTTTTTGCCGTTTGGAAAGCACGGCTTCCGCACAGGCGAGCACCGAAGCGCGCAGAGGCCCCCTGAGGGAGGCGTGGCCTCCCTCACGTGGGTCTCCGCGCGCTTCGGTGCTCGCCTGTGGCGGAAGCCATGCTTCCCAAAGCGCGAGAGGCTCATGACGGCGGCCAACTTCGACTTGTAGGGTCGCCGACCCTTAGGCTAAGCGCGAGGTGGACACTCGACAAGACACAAGATGGTGATCACTATCATTGGCCTGTCGCCCTTTGGCAAGCACTGAATCCCCAACAGGCGAGTGGGGGAGCGCGCGGAGGCCAACCTGAGAGAGGCGTGGCCTCCCTCACGTGGGGCCTCCGCGCGCTCCGGCGCTCGCCTGCGGCGAAAGCCATGCTTCCCAAAACGCAAGAGTTTCATGACGGTGGCCAACTTCGACTTCTAGGGTCTCTGACCTCATGGCTATGGGCGAGGGTCGATACTCCAAAAGACACAAGATGGTCACCATCATTGGCCTGTTGCCCTTTGGCACGCACGGAATCCCTAAAAGGCGAGTGGGGGAGCGCGCGGAGGCCCACCTGAATGAAGCGTGTGTCGTCTCTCAGGTGGGTTTCCGTGTGCTCCGCCGCTTGCCTATGGCGGAAACCATGCTTCCCAAAGGGCAACAGGGATGGTGGCCACATTTGACTTGTTGAGCCCTCGACTCTCGCGCAAAGCTTTCATCATGCATCAGTTATTTACCAACACCACCGAAAGCCAAAACAACTGCAGTGGGTTCAGTGGGCTAGAATCCCAGCCTCGCCACGAATGAGACCTTGAAAATTCATTGGTTTCTGTTTTCAGGTACCAAGGCGGAAATGACAATGCTTCGGAGGGCCACCGAAACCTATCCACTTTCGCCTTCGGCCACCTCTGGCTTTTGTTCAGCCGCAACGAACCGTGTCAAAAGCGCACTGTTTCTTTCGCCGCCTAACCCAAACGCCGAAACGGAATGTAGTTCGGAGAAAACTTACATCACCCACCTTAGTTTCCACTCTTCGAGCAAAGATTTTGGAACACAAACCCTGGACCTTTCAGTTCAGGAGTTCGAAACGGGAACTGGCGAAGGGCTCTCGCCCCCACCACCACCGCCGGCCTTCTTGCCGCCCTGGTTGACGGTGCTGCCAAGGTCACGATCTTCACGTGCCCTTCCCATCATGCGGTCGGCAATGGACACACTTGAAACGGGGTTGTCGCCAACAATAGCTCCAGACGATTTGCTTGGTTCTGCAGTACTCCTGGTCACGGGCAGCGGAAGCAGCGGTGGCAGTAGTGGCAGACACGGGAAAGGCGTTGGCGGCAACGGTGGGATTGTCGCCACCTTCATCTCTTAGAGGCGATGCCGCCCAACCAGTAGCCGACGACAAGCCCATCTCTCCCTTCTCCCCGAAAAGCGCGCCGTTCTCCACTCCTGCTGCAGGAGTGGAGAACGGCGAGATTTTCGGGGCGGTAGGAGACATGGACTTGCCGTCGGCTACTGGCTGGGCGGCGACCGCAAGGTCGGATTTGCGTTCGATGGGGCTCTCGGCGGGGAAGACGGCCAGCTTGTGCTGCAGCTCAGGATCGGTGGGTATCGCCGTCTCCGAGGGGTTGGCCTCACTGTTTTTGGTTTTAGGATGTGGCGATAGGCGGAGGGGAGGGGAGGGGTGGTGTGCATAGTCGTGCATGCCGTAGTCGTAGACCACTGGCCTCGCACCCTACAAAGCCGGGACGGAGCACGCCGGGTTCTCCCCGGACCAGGCTCTCACATCACCAAGCGCCAAGCGCCGTGAGGTATCCGGCGAGTCGCATGAAGGGTGCGCTGCATCCTGCTACGGGTGTTCGGCATCTTGTGCTTACTTCCTTGCTTACGTCCTTGCGTACGGATGACTGCGTAAAGCCTAAAACATTTCTGATGCTTTCACTTCAAAGAGACAGATATAAGCAATGTATAGCTGCCCAGAGGATGCGTCACCATTTTAACACAACGTGATGCGATCATCCCCTTTGCGCGAAGTGAGGGTTCTCGACCCCGCACAACATGATCTACTCGACCACCATTCATGGATACCGCAAAAAAACCCATCAGAGCAAGAGAACGCGATTCACCTGGTTGCCGAGCTCACGAAGTGATCGGCTTATTATACAATATCGCTGCCAAGCGACGAAAACCCAACCCCGATGGCAAACACCGGCGTGGGGGGTGTACTCATATTCGTGCATGCCGTGTCGTTAGACCATTGACCTCGCATCCCTACAAAGCCGGGACGGAGCACGCCGGGTTTTCACCGGACCAGGCTCTCACGTCACCAAGCGCGAAGGGCCGTGGGATATTCGGCAAGTCGCATGAAGGGTGCGCTGCATCCTGCAAAGGGTGTTCGGCATCTTGTGCTTACTTCCTTGCTTACGGATGACAGCTGCGTATGACTTGATATATTTTCTGGTGCTTTCACTTCCAGAGACAGTTGAAATCACTGTGTAACTACCTCAAGGGTGCTTGACCATTTTATCACAACGTGGTGCGATCATCCCCCCTTGCGCGGAGTGAGGGTTCTCCATTCCGCACAACATGATCTACTCGACCACCATTATGGTACCGCCAAAAAAGAAACAGTGGCAAAAAAAAGAAAAACGGTAACCTGGTTGCCGAGTTCACGAAGTGAATTGGCTTGCTTTACAACGTCATTGCCAAGCGACGACATGGCAAACACCGTGGGGGGGGTGTACTCATAGTCGTGCATGCCGTAGTCGTTAGACCATTGACCTCGCATCCCTACAAAGCCGGGACGGAGCACGCCGGGTTCTCACCGGACCA